ACTAAACCAGATCTAAACCAGGTCTAAACCAGGACTAAACCAGGACTAAACCAGGACTAAACCAGCACTAAACCAGGACTAAAACCAGGACTAAAACCAGGACTAAACCAGGACTAAAACCAGGACTAAAACCAGGACTAAACCAGGACTAAACCAGGACTAAACCAGGAACTAAAACCAGGACTAAACCAGGACTAAACCAGGACTAAACCAGGACTAAACCAGGACTAAACCAGAACTAAAACCAGGACTAAACCAGATCTAAAACCAGATCTAAACCAGGACTAAACCAGATCTAAATCAGGTCTAAACCAGGTCTAAACCAGGACTAAACCAGGACTAAACCAGGTCTAAACCAGGACTAAACCAAAACCAAACCAAGACTAAATCAGGACTAAATTTGAACTAAACCAGAGTAAACCAGGTCGCCTCTCCACAGATCTGACCTGTAACTTTGTCTGGTCTGGTCCATGTAAATAAAAAGGTTTATTGTGATAATAATAATAATAAAATGTTGTTACTTTGACGTGTTTTGAAGTTCACTTATTTTCCGTTTAGTCGTACGAACAGTTTATTTGTCATTAAGTTATTTCTCCGTCTGTTTTTAATACATTTTGTCGGGGGAAAAGACACTTGTTCTTGTTATTCCTCCTCCTCCTCCTCCTCGTCGAGCACTCGGGGCCAGGATCCACAACGCCGCCTTAATTAGTCTCCGGTCTGGAGTCTGGACCGAGTCTGGACCGAGGACGGGGAGAAAAGAGAAAAGAGCTGAACCTTCTCCAGCGGCGTCAGTGTGAACGGGGTTTAAACTTCTCCCCGTCTGCTCCCGAGGCGTCGTGGGTGAAGCGCGGGGCTGTCAGGACGTCGCGGGTCTGAGGCTCGGGGGGGGGGTTCGATGGATGTTGTTGCGTCAGAAATCCAGCGGAAAAGCTCCTCGACGCCGAGTCCTGCACAGTGTCGGGAAGGTGACTTTTAATAAGTTGTTCTCTGATTCTGAAAAAGCCCAAACTAAACCTGAATTAAACCTAAACTAAACAAGAACTAAACCTGAACTAAACCAGGACTAAAACCAGAACTAACTAGACCTGGTTTAGACCTGGTTTAGACCTGCTTCAGTCCTGGTTTAGTACTGCTTTTACACCTGATTTAGTCCTGGTTTAGTCTTGGTTTAGTCTTGGTTTAGTCCTGATTTAGTCCTAGTTTAGTCTTGGTTTAGTCCTGGTTTAGTACTGCTTTTAGACCTGATTTAGTCCTAGTTTAGTCTTGGTTTAGTCTTGGTTTAGTCCTGATTTAGTCCTAGTTTAGTCCTGATTTAGTCCTGGTTTAGTCTTGGTTTAGTCTTGGTTTAGTCCTGTTTTAGTCCTGTTTTTAGCCCTGGTTTAGTCCTGGTTTAGTTCTGGTTTAGTTCTGGTTTAGTCTGTTTAGTCTGGTTTAGTCCTTGGTTTAGTCTGTTTAGTGGTTTAGTCTTGGTTTAGTCTTGGTTTAGTCCTGGTTTAGGTTTAGTTTAGTCCTGTTTATTTAGTCCTGGTTTAGTCTTGGTTTAGTCCTTGGTTTAGTCTTGGTTTAGTCCCTGGTTTAGTCCTGGTTTAGTTCTGGTTTAGTCCTGGTTTAGTCTGGTTTAGTCTTGGTTTAGTCTGGTTTAGTCCTTGGTTTAGTCTTGGTTTAGTCCTGGTTTAGTTCTGGTTTAGTCATTTAGTCTGGTTTAGTCCTCTGGTTTAGTTCTGGTTTAGTCTTGGTTTAGTCTTGGTTTAGTCCTTGGTTTAGTCCTGGTTTTTCTGGTTTAGTCCTGATTTCTAGGTATTTTTGAGCTGTAAAACCGCCTGTAATTGAATAAATGTCATTTATCATTTCTGTTTAATGTCACACTGTGGAACATTCCAGACAAAGCAATAATAATATTAAAAACAAAACAAATCAAAACAGTTGAAGAGACAAAAGTGGACAGTTGTAAAGGTGGACATCAGAAAGAGCAGCGTGTGACTCAGATTTAAAATAGAAGTTCAAATAACTTCAAACTGTGTGTCGTTCGTTCATTTGTTTTTCAATATAAAACCAAAAATAATAAAATGAAAAAACAGCTGTTTTCTTCATTATTTGTCTCCAAAATCAAAATGAAAAAATGGATAAAGATTTGTTTTTTCAGTTTTCGATTTTGTGTTTAAATGAAGATTGGAAAAAACGGATAACGGCCGTTTAAGTGACTTCAGTGATGCTGGACTTTTGCACCGCGTACGGACTGAACCAGGACTGATCCAGGTCCGGGACCAGAGCGGGACCAGAGCGGGACCAGAGCGGGACCAGACCTGGACCAGACCTGGACCAGAGCGGGACCAGAGCGGGACCAGACCAGAGGGACCAGAGTGGACTTTGACTTTTGACTCTGAGCCTCAGCTTCGAGCTCCGGTCCTGCCGTGGGTTCTGAGCCTCGTTCTGGGTCTGGTCTGGTCCCCCGAGTCTCTGATCCAGTCTCAGTCTGGTCCCGGTCTGGTCTTGGTCTCTTGTCCGATCTGGTCTCGTCTGGTCTCGGTCTCGGTCTCAGTCTCAGTCTGGTCTGGTCTCAATCAGTCTGTCTCAGTCTGTCTCAGTCTCGGTCTGGTCTGTCTCTGGTCTCGGTCTGGTCTCAGTCTCGGTCTGGTCTCGGTCTCGGTCTGGTCTCGGTCTGGTCTCGGTCTCGGTCTGTTCTCAGTCTCGGTCTGGTTCGGTCTGGTCTCGGTCTCTTCGGTCTCGGTCTGTCTCAGTCTCGGTCTGGTCTCGGTCTCGGTCTGTTCTCGGTCTCGGTCTGGTCTCGGTCTCGGTCTGGTCTCAGTCTCGGTCTTCTGGTCTCGGTCTCGGTCTGGTCTCGGTCTCTCAGTCTCGGTCTGGTCTCAGTCTCGGTCTCGGTCTGTTCTCGGTCTGGTCTCAGTCTCGGTCTCGGTTCTCAGTCTCGTCTTGTCTCAGTCTCTGGTCTCAGTCTCGGTCTCGGTCTCAGTCTCGGTCTGGTCTCAGTCTCGGTCTGTCTCAGTCTCGGTCTGGTCTCAGTCTCGGTCTGTCTGGTCTCGGTCTGTTCTCAGTCTGGTCTCAGTCTCGGTCTGGTCTCAGTCTCGGTCTCGGTCTGGTCTCAGTCTCGGTCTGTTCTCGGTCTCAGTCTCTGTCTCGTCTCGTCTCGGTCTCTGGTCTCGGTCTGGTCGTCTCGGTCTGTCCTCGGTCTGGTCTCGGTCTCGGTCTGTTCTCAGTCTGGTCTCAGTCTCGGTCTCGGTCTGTTCTCAGTCTGGTCTCAGTCTCGGTCTGGTCTCAGTCTCGCTCTGGTCTCATTCCCGCTCTGGTCCCTGTCTGGCCTCGGTCTCAGTCCTGGTCTGGTTCCGGTCTGGTCCCGGACTTGGATCAGTCCTGGTTCTGTCCGTCATCACAGTTTAAGTCACGTAAACGGGAAACGTCCGTTATCCGCTTTTTCCCATTTTTCCCATTTTTCACAAAATCGAAAACTGAAAAAACAAATCATTATCTGTTTTTTCAATTTGGTTTTGGAGACAAATAATGAAGAAAATTGTTGTTTTTTTTTAGTTTTTCTTATTTTTGGTTTTATATTGAAAAACGAATGAACGAATGACACACGGATTAACTTCTTTAAATAAGCGAACAAAAGGTGAACATGTCCTAAAAAAGATCTAATATTTTCTAGTTTTAGACAGAACATGACTGAATGTGAAGGAGGTGAACGTCCTTCCACCTCAATAAATGAAATGAAAATAAATGAAATGACTCGTCGTGTCATAAATAAAGTAAAAGCCAAAGCACTAAAACGTACATGATCCTCCAAAACACCAAAAACACCGTCTATAAAAGCACCTGTAACTGAATAAATGTGAAGTAGAGCTGTTTAATGTCACACTGCGGAACATTCCAAACAGAAATATGACATCTCCATAGAAACCAGAAGGTGACGGACCCCAAACCAGAATATTACGTAGTGCATCTTTAAAGTACACGACAAACATGAAAAACACTGCGCTGAAGTGTTTCCACGATCGACCAAACCAGACTCTTTTATAGGTTTTAAACGAGACGAACCTTCATAAAGGAAAGTCCCACACTCGTCCGACCGGAGCCTTTAACACCGACACTGTGTGATTTAACAAGGCCCTAAGTCCCTTTAAACACTCTTTAAAATAAACTATAAACACTGAAATACAACCACAGCACTGAAATAAAAAGGAATGTAAAACAGTTCTGCTCTCCCCCCTCCCCCCCTCCCCCTCCCCCCACTTTGGAGGTAAAGGTGAGTTTATGGAGGTATTGAGCTGAAATGGGCAAATAAAGTTTAGTTAAATGAAAAAACAAACAAACAAACACCCAGGCCATACGTCCAACTGTTTAGGATAAGGAAAAATGTACAAATGTGTAATATAGTAAATGTGCGCAGACCCAGACTCACCTGCACAGACAGACCCACACTCACCTGTGCAGGTGGACCCAGACTCACCTGTGCAGGTGGACCCAGACTCACACTCACCTGTGCAGGTGGACCCAGACTCACCTGTGCAGGTGGACCCAGACTCACCCGTGCAGATAAACCTGGACTCACCTGCGCAGACAGACCCACACTCACCTGCGCAGACAGACCCAGACTCACACTCACCTGTACAGACCTGTACAGACCCACACTCACCTGCGCAGACGGACACAGACTCATCTGTGCAGGCCTAGGCTCACCTGTACAGGCAGACCCAGACAGACCCACACTCACCTGTGCAGGCAGACCCAGACTCACCGGTGCAGACCCAGACTCTCCTGCGCAGGCGGACCCAGACTCACACTCACCTGTGCAGACCCAGACTCACCTGTGCAGACCCAGACTCACCTGTGCAGACCCAGACTCACCTGTGCAGGCGGACCCGGACTCACCTGCGCAGGCGGACCCAGACTCACCTGCGCAGACGGACCTGGACTCACCTGCGCAGACAAACACGAGGAGATGTGTCTCACTGAAGTTGATCCAGAGTTTCTCCAGAGTTTTTGCCTTACAGCAGCTCTGCAGCATTATTCATATAAATAGGCCAGTTTGATCCAAGCACTTTTTTTGTTTTCAATTCCAGCTCTATTACTGTCGCCGCAGACTGTGGAGGTCTGAGATTAGACTGAGGCTGGTCTGAGGTCGGTCTGAGGTCGGTCTGAGTTCGGTCTGAGGTCGGTCTGAGGTCGGTCTGAGGTCGGTCTGAGTTCGGTCTGAGGTCGGTCTGAGGTCGGTCTGAGTCGGTCTGGTCGTCTGAGGTCGGTCTGAGTCGGTCTGAGGTCGTCTGAGGTCGGTCTGAGGTCGGTCTGAGTTCGGTTGAGGTGGTCTGAGGTCTGGTCTGAGTTCGGTCTGAGGTCGGTCTGAGGTCGGTCTGAGGTCGGTCTGAGGTCGGTCTGAGTTCGGTCTGAGTTCGGTCTGAGTTCGGTCTGAGGTCGGTCTGAGGTCGGTCTGAGGTCGGTCTGAGGTCGGTCTGAGTGAGGTCGGTCGGTCTGAGGTCGGTCTGAGGTCGGTCTGAGGTCGGTCTGAGGTCGGTCTGAGGTCGGTCTGAGTTCGGTCTGAGGTCACGCCGCCCTCACCCGCTCCAGAGTGTGTGAGTGGAGACCTGCTGTTTGAAGCTTTTGGAGCTTTTAACGAGAATCTGAATGAGTCTGTCACGTTCACACAAACCCGGCAGCTCCCAGACCCTATTTAGTTTTTTTTTTTTTACGTCGAGTTATGAATCTGGGACGTGTCTCTGTGAAAAGTGGAAGTACTTTTCGAAAATAGTCCACATTTTTACTGAAAACGCTGCAGTAGATCTGTCTGTGTTTCCACGTTTGTTTTCTTCACCTTTGGCTTCTGCGCGAGGTTACTTTGTTTGTTTAGCAAAAATTGATTTTTTATTTCTGTTTTGTTTTGTTTTTTCTTTCAGGGTGAGCGTTTGAGAATTCCTGCCAACAAGTGCTGCCCTGAATGCATCTCGTCCCAGGGCTCGTGTCAGTACGAGGGCGTCACCTACGGGGTCAGTGAAGCAAAGAGACTCACAATCACAAAACTCGCTCCTTGTGCTTTAGTTACTTTATTCTTTTTGTTGTTTTCATGTTGGTTTAATCCTGATGCCCCGTCCTCGTCCTCGTTTGTGTCCTCCAGGCGGGCTCCGTGTGGCAGCCGTCTCCCTGCTCCCAGTGCCTCTGTTCCGGGCTCGGCGTCTCGTGCTCGGCCCTGTCCTGTCCCCCTCTGGACTGTCCCCTGGATCACAGAGAGTTCACCCCCGAGGGAGAGTGCTGTCCCCAGTGTGTGCGCGACGGAGGTGAGGCCAAAAAAAACACAGATCCAACTTTTATCTTCTGTCGACAGATTTAAACGGCTGCACTGACGCTTGGGTTAAAATGCAAAAAGAGGCTTGCAAAAATCAGAATCGTTATGTGGAGTTTTGTGAACAGGGATGTTACGATGTCCAAATCTCAAAAACTACATTTAAAACTTATGAAAACTAGATTAAAATGCTTATATCAACTAGAGCACAGGTGTCAAACATAAGGCCCGGGGGCCATATCCGGCCCTCCAAGATTTTTAATGTGGCCCTTGGCTGATTTTCTACTAAAATATTTGAATTATATTTTCTATTAAAATCTTGTTAATTTTCTGTGGTGTTTATCACAGCAGCGTCTCCAGCGTCTCTGTACGTGGCCCCTCCCACCAGAGCAGCACAAATGAAGACTTGTCTCTTTCCAAACGCTCTTAAAGGACGATCGTTTTGACTGTTGACCGTGACACCCTCATCAGAAAAATGTCCAACATGAGAAAAGTGGAGCCAAGTGCAGGATTTTACAACAAAAATTTATTTATTCCTGTTTACAAACAAGTTCATGTTAAAACTTTGTGTTGAAATTGCATTTTTCTTAAAGTTTCAGGTTGTTCATAATATTATAAACTTGTAATAAGAAAGAGTTCATCAATTAAAAAAGATTTCTGTAATAGATTTGCGTTTCTCTGCACAAATATATGAACTTATTATTATTTTTGGGGTTTATATGACATGAGTTTTCTGATCCGGACACTTTGGGATCAAAATAGGTTGGATACGACCCCCGGACCAAAATGAGTTTGACTCTCCTGAACTAGATTAAAGTGCTTATAACAACTAGACTAAATATTTTATAACGGAACTTAAAGTGCCTATAGGCGAGTTTCAGCTGACGTCATTGTTATTAAAAGCCCGCGTTGCATCCTGGGAAATATTTTGGTCGGAGGCAAGAAACACGGTAGCGTCAAACACAGTGCGTAACCTCGCGTATTTTCTCCCGATAATGGGTAAATTCCTGCTGCATTATCGGATGCACAAATAGAAGCACGAAGAAGGAAAATGTCTTTTTCGTATTCAGAGTGAAAAGAACCACTAACGGTGAATTAAACGGTGTTAAAACATTCACAGAGCAAACGTAGAAGATCCTAACAAACCGTGGACTCCAACAAGTTCAACAACACATCGAGACTCTTGGAGGTTTTCATCTTTTCTGCTGTGAATGGCCCAGGAGTTTCCACCAAGTCATTGTGGATGTCGCCCAAGTGAATATTTGTCCAGGTAGTTGGAGATTCAGACCAGAAATTTGGTTTGGTTTCACCTTTTGTCGGGGTTGAAAAGGGTGATTTGTCGTCCGTCGATGTTTATGACCAATTTCTGGTCAAATGGTCTTGGGTGGTAGAGTGGATAAATAACCGGGATCAATACCCTTTACGTGTTTTCTCGCTCCGTCCGTCATGTTGAATTAGTGTTTCTTGCCGACCACAATAATTCCCAGCATGCAACACGCGCTTTTGTCAACAATGAAACTCGCCTTTAACAAAAGTGCTTATAACAACTAGATTTAAGTGCTTATATCATCTTATAGTTAATTATATGCAACAAAAATGTCTTTATATACTGTACAGTACAGTTGTAGGGAGTATTATCTGTTACATAAGAATGAGTGGTACAGTTGTAGGGAGTATTATCTGTTACATAATGATGAGTTGTACAGTTGTAGGGAGTATTATCTGTTACATAAGTGTGAGTTGTTGTGCAGTTGTAGGGAGTATTATCTGTTACATAATGTACATTGAGTTGTACAGTTGTAGGGAGTATTATCTGCTGTTACATAAGAATGAGTTGTACAGTTGTAGGGAGTATTATCTGCTACATAAGAATGAGTGAGTTGTACAGTTGTAGGGAGTATTATCTGCTACATAATCTGAAATGAGTTGTACAGTTGTAGGGAGTATTATCTGTTACATAAGAATGAGTTGTACAGTTGTAGGGAGTATTATCTGTTACATAAACATGAGTTGTACAGTTGTAGGGATTATTATCTGCTACATAAGAATGAGTTGTACAGTTGTAGGGAGTATTATCTGCTACATAAGAATGAGTTGTACAGTTGTAGGGAGTATTATCTGCTACATAAGAATGAGTTGTACAGTTGTAGGGAGTATTATCTGTTACATAATGATGAGTTGTACAGTTGTAGGGAGTATTATCTGTTACATAATGATGAGTTGTACAGTTGTAGGGAGTATTATCTGCTACATCTGTTAATGAGTAATTGTGTAAAGTTTGTAGGGAGTATTATCTGTTACATAATGATGAGTTGTACAATTGTAGGGAGTATTATCTGTTACATCAGAGTGAGTTTTAAAGTGCGTGTGACTTTTTGGTTTTGACATTTCTATAAATTTTACTTAATTTGGTTGAAATTAGAGTTGTTTTTGTTTTTGTTTTTTTTACACCTGAAGGCGAGTCGTAGGTCCTGCATCACGGATCAAACTGAACGGTGACATTTCTGAACCATTAAACCCCCGCTGTGTTTCCATGACGACGTGCCAACATGAAAAAAGGCGCTGTGAGATGTATGTGATTTATACGAGTTTAGAATTTCAGATTTCAGTGTTTTTCTCAAATGTTCAAACTCCTCCATAGACGTTCGTACTTAAAGGTCCAGATGTGATCAGTTTTCAAGTTTTTTGGTTGTGGTTTCTATGGATACGTCATCGCTCTGCCTGGAATGTTCCACAGTGTGACATTTAACAGGTCTACTTTATATTTATTCAATTACAGGTGGTTTTATAGCTGAAAAATGTCTACAAACCAGGACTAAACCAGGACTAAACCAGGACTAAACCAGGACTAAACCAGGACTAAACCAAGACTACACCAGGACTAAACCAGGACTAAACCAGGACTACACCAGGACTACACCAGGACTAAACAAGGACTAAACCGAGACTAACCAAGACTAAACCAGGACTACACCAGGACTAAACCAAGACTAAACCAAGACTAAACCAGGACTACACCAGGACTAAACCAAGACTAAACAGGACTAAACCAGGACTAAACCAGGACTAAACCAGGACTAAACCAGGACTAAACCAGGACTAAATCAGAACTAATCAGAACTAAATCAAACTAAACCAGACTAAATCAAGACTAAACCAAGACTAAACCAGGACTAAACCAGGACTAAACCAGGACTAAACCAGGACTAAACGAGACTAAAGCAAGACTAAACCAGGACTAACCAGGACTAAACAAGGACTAAACCGAGACTAAGCCAAGACTAAAACCAGGTCTAACCAACTAAACCAGGACTAAATCAAGACTAAACCAAGACTAAACCAGGACTAAACAGAACTAAACCAGGACTAAACAAGGACTACATCAGAACTAGACCAGGATTAACCAGGACTAAACTAGAACTAAACCAGGACTAAATCAGAACTAGACCAGGACTAAATCAAGACTAAACCAGAACCGAATCAGAACTAAACCAGGACTAAACCAGGACTAAACCAGAACTGAACCAGAACTAAACCAGGACTAAACCAGGACTAAAGAAGGACAAACCGAGATCTAAACCAGTAATAAACGAAGACTAAATCAGAATTAAACCAGAACTAAACCAGGACAAACCCAGGACTAAACCAGGACTGAACCAAGACTAAGTCAGGACTAAACCAGGACTAAACCAGACTTAAACCAAAACTAAACCAGGACTAAATCAGACCAAATCCAGGACTAAACCAGGACTAAACCAAAACTAAACCAAGACTAACCCAGATCTAAACCAGGACTGAACCGAGACTAAATCAGGACTAAACCAGGACTAAACCAGAACTAAACAAGGACTAAACCAGGACTAAACCAGGACTAAATCAGAACTAAACCAAGACTAAATCAAGACTAAACCAAGACTAAACCAGAACTAAACCAGGACTACATCAGAACTAGACCAGGATTAACCAGGACTAAACTTGAACTAAACCAGGACTAAATCAGAACTAGACCAGGACTAAATCAAGACTAAACCAGAACCGAATCAGAACTAAACCAGGACTAAACCAGAACTGAACCAGAACTAAACCAGGACTAAATCAGGACTAAACCAGGACTAAACCAGACCTAAACCAAAACTAAACCAGGACTAAATCAGACCAAATCCAGGACTAAACCAGGACTAAACCAGGACTAAAGAAGGACAAACCGAGATCTAAACCAGTAATAAACGAAGACTAAATCAGAATTAAACCAGAACTAAACCAGGACAAACCCAGGACTAAACCAGGACTGAACCAAGACTAAATCAGGACTAAACCAGGACTAAACCAGAACTAAACAAGGTCCGGGTAAAGTAATAACATCTCCAGCAAGAAAAACATTCGATTCAGCATTAACAGATTTTTTTTTAAAGCTTTTGTTCAGTAAAGATTGGTAAAAGTGTCAGAGTTGGTGTTAAAAATGTGTGAATAAAACAAAACAAAACTGCGTGTGTGTTTTAAACCGAACGACATTCTAACACCGATCATAAAATAGTGTAATATTGAGCTTTTAGAGAGTTGCTCTGTGAATCATCACTTTCTGAAAACTCGACTAATCCTCTTTGTTGTTGGTGCTGATTAAGATCCGGCCTCAGATCTGAAGGGCCCCCGGGTGGTGCTCAGTCCTTGCGCCCCCTGCTGAGATCAAGGCCCCGTTACATGTTTTCCATAGATAACTGTGAGCCCTAAAATGTGAAATATCAACCAGAAAGTTTCCAAAGTGAAAAATACAACGTCACTTATTTAAAGAGACGTCGTTTGTTTTTCCTGGTGTTTAAAATGAAACTGTAGAAGCGCGTTTACATTTGGGTCGTGACTAAAAGTGAACTGTGCCAGTGATCCGTGTGTCATTCGTTCGTTTGTTTTTCAATATAAAAGCAAAAATAAGAAAACGAAAAAAATAAAATAAAATAAAATAAAAAATTTTCTTCATTATTTGTCTCCAAAACCAAAATTTGTGATTTTGTGTTTAAATGAAAAATGGAAAAAATCGGATAAACGACCGTTTCCCGTTTACGTGACTTCAGTGACTGAGAAGCCGGACTGAACCAGGACTGATCCAGGTCCGGGACCAGAGCGGGACTGAGACCAGGACCGGACCAGGACCGGAGCAGACCGAGACCAGACCGAGACCAGACCGAGACCAGACTGGGACCATACAAGACTGAGATCAGAACTGAAACCGGGACCAGACCGAGACTGAGATCAGAACTGAAACTGGGACCAGACCGAGGCTGAGACCAGACCAGGACCAGAGCGGGACTGAGACGGGACCAGACCGAGACCAGACCAAGACCAGACCGGAACCAGACAGAGACTGAGATCAGAACTGAAATCGGGACCAGACCGAGACTGAGACCAGACCAGGACCAGACCGGGACTGAGACCGAGACCAGACCAAAACCAGACCGGAACCAGACAGAGACTGAGATCAGAACTGAAACCGGGACCAGACTGAGACTGAGACCAGACCAGGACCAGACCAAGACCAGACCGGCACCAGAGCGGGACCAGACAGAGACTGAGATCAGAACTGAAACTGGGACCGGACCGAGACTGAGACCAGGCCAGGACCAGACCGGGACTGAGACCGGAACTGAGACCGGGACTGAGACCAAGACCAGGCCAGGACCAGAGCGGGACTGAGACCGGGACCACACCAAGACCAGACCAAGACCAGACCGGAACCAGACAGAGACTGAGATCAGAACTGAAATCGGGACCAGACCGAGACTGAGACCCAGTAAGACCCTGTAAACTCGGGATGATTTCTTCGGCAGTCAAAGGTTTCATTTTTGGTTCTTCCTGTGGATCAATCCTGCCCATCACCTTCACCTTTCACTATTTTTCAATTCCTTTGGGAAGAGAAACAGTTTGAATGGAGGTTTGAGTCACACACATCTGACTCCCAAACTTTCGCAAACTTACGAAGCCCGTTGTCAGGGAATTTACCCCGACCTCAAATATTAAAGAACACGCCAGGGACACAGTGGTTGGTTTTACTTGCGCAAGGAGTAGGAGAGAGCTTCTGTCTCATCCTAACTGAAGCTCTCTTCTCTCCAACGTCCTTTTATTGTAGAGCATCACAATTATCATACAGTAGGTTACTTTGAATACAGTACCTTTTGTTCACATGTAGTCTCATGACTGACAAGCTTCCACTGACACAGCCCCAGTATACACAGGTTTCACACTCCAGGTGGTAGAGCCTCTAGCAGTTCCCCAGAGTTCTGTGTTAACCTCATGATGTTTACCATTACTATTTGTTTCTCCCGGTACATTATCTTTAATGAGTCAGCAGACACATCATCCATATAACCTGATACAACTTGAACACAACAAGACAAGACAAAACAAAAAGCCAATGTTGATAACTTATACTACATCATGATTACCTTTACATGAATCGGCTTTTAAATGATTAACACTTTAAATGGGAAATGTTTATAACATAAAAATTCTCTAACACCCATTTTCCTCTGTTAGGATCCAACAACCACACAATTAACGACGTCCGAATCCCAAAACTAAAATATGACAATATCAGAACCAGAAACAAAAGTGATATGGTTCAAAAGACTTGAAAAGATCGACTTTGACAACAGACACATCCCACTGGGAAAACAAACATGACGGTTTGATTTGACGCTCACTTTTTCGGAGGATCCTTCCCAGTATGGAATGCGCGATGACCTGAAGTGTGAAATTCTTGATGCGTGTGTACACCAGACATTTCCAGAAACATTTTGCCGTAGAAACCCATTAACTGTAAGTTCCTGACGTCAAAGTAATGACCAGAAACACGACTATTAGAAGGTTAAAAGCGCCTGAATTTTGATTTGACAGAACACGTCCCCTTTCACTTTCACACAACAGTTTCCTTTTATGAGCGTGAATATTTGCGCGGGCCACAGACACGTCGTTGGGCATCTTGTGTTTTCTTGGTGTTGACTAAACCGGTGAAATGAGCCGTCTCGTTTTGTCTCTAATGAAGGCTGGGAGCACTTCTGACACCGGCAGACGTTAGCCGCTAATTAGCAGCCAACTAAATGAGCAAACAGCACTTGTGTTGTTTATCTTTGCTCTAAACATTTGAGCGCTCGGCCGCTTCTGTCAGGAAAATCTATTTTTATACCTGGACTAAAAGACTCTTCTTTTTCTGCTCCAGTTTGTCCGAACATTTAAATGTGGCTCAGGTTTGTCGTCGTGTCAAAGGTTCAGAGTTTGTCTGGAGACTGAAGTTTAGTTGAAATATTAATGTGAGTTTGGAAATGTTTACTGGTGTAGTACTTCTACTTCTACTGGTACTTCTATTACTGCTACTTCTACTGCTACTTCTACTGCTACTGCTACTGCTACTTCTACTGGTACTGCTACTGCTACTTCTACTGCTACTTCTACTGCTACTGCTACTGTTACTTCTACTGGTACTGCTACTGCTACTGGTACTACTACTGCTACTACTACTAAGAGTACTGCTACTTCTACTGCTACTGCTACTTTTACTGCTACTTCTACTGCTACTTCTACTGCTACTGGTACTACTACTGCTACTACTACTGCTGCTGCTGCTACTACTACTACTGGTACTGCTACTGCTACTACTACTACTACTATGGCAGTACTACTACTGCTACTACTGCTACTACTGCTACTGGTACTGCTACTGCAGTAGCAGTAGTACCAGTAGCAGTAGCAGTTTTAGAGCCCACCACAGCACTGAGACTGCTCTTATCAAGGTGACAAATGACATCCGCCTGAACACTGATGCAGGCAAAGTCTCAGTCTTGATCCTGTTAGATCTGAGTGCTGCTTTTGACACTGTGATCATGGGATCCTCTACAGAGACTAGAGGACTGGTGGGATTTCTTACTGTACTAAACTGGTTCAAGTCCTATCTAGAAGACAGGAAGTACTTTGTTGAAATTGGAAAACTGTGTCTCAGATGACATGCCCTGACCTTGGGTTGCCTCAGGGGTCAATCCTGGGCCCCCTGTTGTTCAATTCTCTAATGCTGCCATTAGGCCAGTTAATAAGCAGCAATAACGTGTCGTACCACAATTATGCAACGACACTCAGATCACGTCTCTCTGGCAGCAGGAGACTATGGACCAGTGGAGTCACTTGTCACTGCATCCAACAGATCAGTGTGTGGTTCCAGCTAAACTCTGACAAACTGAAGTCATAGGTTTTGGTACAGTGTCAGCCACCTCCAGTCTCTCTCTCTAAAACCTTCTCAGGCAAAAATCTGGTAATAATACTCAACTTGAACTACATCACATAAAATCAATAACATCTGCAGCCTTTACATCTAAAACATAGCAAAATCAATTACTGTCTAAAGCAGACTTCGGAGAAACTTATGCGTTTGTCTCCAGGAGGTTAGATACTGTATGTTCTGCTCACTGGTCTCTCCAAACGAGCTGTGAGACGCTGCAGAACATCCAGAACATCCAGAACATCCAGAACGCTGCAGCTCGGTCCTTATACTAGAAGTTACGAGCCACTAATCCATGTGCTCAGGTCTCTGCACTGGCTTCCTGTGCCTCAGAGAATAGACTTTAAACAGTCTGCTTGTGTACAACTGGTCGAGCACCAAAGTACATCTACATGTTAGTTCATATGAACATCTCGACTGAGGAGCTCAGGGACCAACTCCTGCTGGTGCCCTACTAAAC